CTCTTTAGCCAAGAGTAATAGTAATTGTAATCGATTACTTTTTTTTTAGTAACGTGTACAAGACTGATCACGATACCGCGCCAGTCGACTCAACGCTTCTCGTGGCCGAAGGACGTATCGCTCTTCTGGCTCTGCCTGCTGTGGCACGTCTACAGGCAAGTCCGTTCGAGTGACGTCATCAGGGGCAAAAGAACAACGACTGGATGTTAATGGTCGTCCAGAAGGTCGGCATCGTTCGCTGGCAGCGTACTGTGCTGGCCTCCGTCAGTGCCCTGGTTCCTGTTTTTTTCTGCTTGGTCGTCAACGTGAAGCTCGCTGCCGAGGATGTATGATAGCGCTGGGTTCTCAAGAGCGCCGGCCAATTGCGGATCCCCGGCTGCTTGTACCGGTGGTAGACGTTCGACCGCATCGACGTACAGATCGCCACCTTCAATGTCTATTATGTCTGGGTAGTCGGGGACGGCTGGGGGAGTAGTAGCCGAGTCATTATCTTCGTCTTCTGTGATGATTTTATCGGGGAAGTCTTTGAGTGCTATTGCAGGTAAAGGCAGGTCGTTATCCGTGACGTGTGATAACTTCCTGGCAGGCAACAAGACTGGCTCCTTCCCATCGGCTACCCGCTTCAAACGGTTGTGGTGTACAACCCGCCGCTTTCTTTTGCCTGTTTTTTCTGGGATTCTGAACATGTTGTTAGGTAGCTTCTTGAGGACTACATATGAACCCAACCACGACAAATACAACTTCGAGGACTGTCCTCGCGGGAGAGCGGGAGAATACAGAAGTCTGTCGCCAGGTTCGTACTCTTTTTCACTGTTCGTGCATTCGTAATGGCGCTTCTGTGCATCCTTCGCGTTCATGTCGTTCACGATTACGTGGTCGCGAGACTTTTGTGATGCTGTCGGTAGACGTGATGCGTGTTGTTCATGACCGGACGTCGATGCCGTGTCAGTATGGCCGTGCACGTCGAGCGACATGTCAGCTGGGATATTCATGTTTCTACCGAATAGCAGGTAATGAGGACTGTAACCAGTCGACTCATGCACGCTCGAGCGATAGGAAATCATGACGAGAGGGAGCTTGATGTTCCAGTCAGTCTGTGTCTCATTGACGTACGCACTCAAGCTGTTTATCAGCGTGCGATTCAATCGCTCAGCCAATCCGTCCGACTGGGAGTAGTAAGGGGAGGTCCTTGTCTTTCGGATGCCCAAAATTGAGCACATTTCTCGAAAGACGTCGCTCTCGAAAGTTCTGCCTTGGTCACAGTGTAGTGCTGATGGTATCCCGTATCATCGGGTCGCCCACCTGTTGTGGCATCTCTGGATAAGCCCGCCCAAAGAGGGCCACAAGGTCGTAGGCGTAGACGTTTAGGGCTTCCGTGGGTTGATGACCGCGGGACCGAAACTCTGCCGCAGACACAGCACGCTGGCCCGCCGAGGCCAAACGAAGTGTCAACGCCTTCATTAGTGCGGAAAAAGTGGCCTTGTCTTGTTCGGGAAGATGCTCAAAGACGCGGAAGGCCTTTCGTCGGAGGCCTGTCGGTAGGTACACCAACGTTTTGGCATCGTCCCAACGGTTGGCTGCTGCGCAAACGGAGAAGAGCTTTGGCCATGACTCAAAGCTTCCCACACCGATGAAGACTTCCGGGAGGATGGGGTTTACAGGTTCGGTGGCCATCCCATCACTGCCACCAATTGTAACCTGATGGCAAAATAGCGACCGCGTTCCTTCTTAGGCTACCTCTTTTATCCGATTAGCGCACCCCCGGCTCGCGCTCCCAGAGCGAGCGTCTTCGTTTTCGTCGAGGCGACACCGACGATCATCACACTAATTTCCCAAAATGCATCTCGCACCTCCTCCATTAACATCATGCTCGCTATGAAGAAAACGTACCGTTAAAGATTCAATCCGCGACTAAAAATTTGCCTATTTTTTTCTGTCGTCTTTCAATCTGATTTGACATACAGCGTTGCCGGTAGCACAATATCGTCTTTAATTGACTAAGATTCAACAGCATAGAGGCCGGCAAGAAACACAGAGCAGAGTTTCTATCGAGCCCTCCGCTTCCGCAGCTGAGTACACGCGGTAAATACACTACCGCGGACTTCATAGCTGTCAAAGGCTCCTTTTGAAATGGACTTTTCACCCGACAAAATGAAATTCATATGGTAAAACACGACTATAAAATAACCTAAAGTAGCATAATGTGGCATAGCGATCGAAGTATAGCATAATACCGTGTAAAAAACGATAACTTAATATAACGTAACATAGCACAAAGGGACATAGTCTCAGGGGCTCAGGGGTCTCCAAACCCCGACCCGGGGGCTAGATCCGGCCCGCCCGGAGCATCTGGCCAGCCCGTAGATGGCCGCGGTTTTGCATAAAGCCCGGCCCGCAACCCAGTGTTGCAGCAAATATAAACGCGCGTAAAAAAAAAAAAAAATCAGCGCGGAGATGCGGATTAAATGCCTAAGCGAAGATACCAGAAAGATCGAGTGAAAACTGCGTTGAAAGGCGTCGCCATGATAGTCACTGTTCATCGTGCGCCAGCATTGCGATTTGTAGTTGCCTGTTTCATGTCTGTGTAATTGTGTGAAAATTTCTTTCCGTGCTCTTGTATATCGTGCATAGTGACTTGACTTAAAACTATTGCATATTGTCATCATCAGGTCTACCGTCCTCATTAGTCTTCTGCCCCATGTGAATACGCCAAAGTTCCTATGCACTTTGATTTATGTCTACTGAGTTTTCTGAGTCACAATCATTTTGCAACGGCATAATTAGAAACATATTGAAGTTCAAAATTAAGTATTTCTATTCGTGTTGAAATTGTATTAAAACAGCGCAAAAAGATACAATTTCAACATGACCAACCAACTAGCCCAACTACACACCTTGTTGTATCTATTCATGCACCTTAATTTTTTTTTACTCTAGTATATGTTTCTAGATTTATATACCTATTCATGTTTACTTAGTATAACCTAATTTATATATTCTCGTTTATTTTCCAACTCTAAAGACTTTGACAGATCCCCAATTAGGCCCTTTAGCCGAAACGTTTGGAGACCCCTAGTGTAGCGTAACACAAAATAACACGGCACAACCGAACACATCGCAAAGTAACATATTGAACAGTATAACCCTGTGTAGCATTGCATTTTATAACATAACCTAATATTCTATCGCGAGGCAACGGGACAAATCGCGTTATACGTCAGGCTAACATATCTTAAGAAATGATCGTGCATCGTATAACAATTCTTAACATGCCTACTTAACCAAGTTTAAGTTAAAGAACGCAACATAACATCAAGCAAGACCGCTTTACGTGACAAAACGTGAGGTAGTGCCACGTGACATAAATCGCCGCCACCAGACGCGTGACACAAAACATACGCGGAGCGCTAGTTTGTTTGCTTATTGCACAGGGGTTACGATGGTGTCAGAACGCAGAGCTCTCATTGGCTAATCGAGAAAAATAGTGGGTACACCTCGGCCTCGTTCTGACGTCACCGTAACCCCTGTGCAAGAAGCAGACGACTTGCTCTCCGCATGGCGTACGAGATACCACAGAGGGTCAAAACATACATCGCAAGGTGCAGAACACAGTACAGACAGGACATAATGTTCATTATAGCCGCAGCCCACACAGCGCAAGGACCTTTGAGTGCGTCCATCATTACCGTGTTTCCATTTCCGACGATTTCGCCATGCACCCTGAACTTGCCGTCAATTCCATGTTCGATCCGTTGTCGGTTGTTGATGGTGGTAGATGTTGGACCCTACAACCTCCCGAACCACTGGGAATTCATCGCCATTCGCAAAATCTGTTCTCAAAGTTTTTCGGTGTTGGACGCTGCGGTTGCTCTACACAGACAGCGTCTCTCCCATCCCAGACGACCTTTTTCTGTCGAACAGGTATACATATTGTGGCTTCGAGATATTCCGTAAACTCCGGCTTTGTTTCAGCTTCATTATCTCAAACAGACTCATATCGGAAGCAGAAAAAAAAAAGAAAAGAAGGCAACAATGCTGCGTTTCTCTCACCCACCCTCCTGCGCGAGCCTCGTCGTCCTCAAGAAAGGAAGTCAACCACAAAGACCTCACAAACGAGGTTACGGCGGAAAACAATCGCATGGCGCCACGTTCAAGGTTCGTTCGCGTGTCTCCTGCCTACCTGCGGTACAAGGCTAAAGCCACGGTCGTACTGCCAACACATCGTGCAAAAGGCATGCTCCTTCTTTGCATGGCGGCCCTGTCACCTTGCTCATACAAGAAACGGTCTGCAGATATGTTCGAAGCATATATGAAGTAAACATGCCTCGAAAATTCTTGAGCCGTGTGCGCGGATAATTTGGTCATCATGCCTGCAGTGAAAACCGTGTTTTTTGCATGGTGTATGAGAAGTGTTACTGTGAATGAAGAGGACTGAATAACTTGCTTTTCAGCAGCTCGCTTCAGTGTCAGCTTTATATTTAGGCGATCTCAAGAAGGCTGTTCCGAAGTCAGCGGCAGTTAGATTTGCCGGAGGTTGCTTACGAGACAACCTAGTCTACTTTGGCATAAAGGTCGGCTCACACAGGGGCGTTTTCCTACATTACGTTAAGTTGCGACCGCTTATGACCGCTTACGCCTCGAGTCCCCGGGACATCCGTGCTTCGAATGAAGCGGGACGACTTGTTTAAGGAGCAGCTTTGCACGCGACATACGAAACATGATCGTGCCTGTTACTCATCACGTAGTGTAAGAAATTGTAAGCAAACGAACCTGTGTGAAAAAACCTTGACACTAAGCTCGTTCCTGTGACGTCGCCATATGCAATACCTTACCCGCTGGCGCTTTTAGATCAAATCAAAGATACTGCTGCCAATCACAGGACCCTGCCCCCTTTTAACGTCTGCAATAACGGCAGATACAAAAAAAAAAAAAAAGTTTCTCCCTGCGAAACGTCCTTGCAAGTTTCATACAAGGGATTCATAATAATTATGTGAGCTTTATTTTCATATGAGCATGCTTTATTTGGTGTCGTTTATTTGAGCTAGTCCAGAAAATAGATGACAGCACACGCTGCTTTAATTACCGAACGGTTAAATTCTGCTAAAGTGTTCAATTAAAAAACAAATGTTTTCCTGTTAGCACCCGTTTTCTTTCGGTGGCTCCCGATTCTTGCCGAAAATTGTTTCGATGTCTTCTAAACTCTTTCCCTTAGTTTCGGGCAGGAGGACCATCACCAGGACAAAGCCGGCCGCCATGAAGCTTGCGTAGAACCAGTAGATGCCGCCTTGTCCAAAGAACATCATCATTGGATGGTACTCCTTCGTTGTGAACGTCGCGCACGCGAAGAAAAAGCACATAAGAATGCCTGATGCGAAGCCCTTGATTCTAATCGGCAAAAGTTCGCCCATGAGGATCGGTGGTAAAGGACGCAGGCCCACCGAAAAGCCCAGGAAGAACACGCAGAGCGTGGCCAGAGGCAGCCAGCCGAACGCCTCCACGAAGCTCGCGCCCCTGGTTTGCTTCAAGTGATAAAAGGTGCCCAGTGTTGCCAGACTGACTGCGGACACGCCCAGGGAGAAGAGAAAGAGTATACGGCGCCCGATTCGGTCAGTGAGTACCACGGCGAGTGCTATGCCGACCAGAGGAACAGTACCCACGACGATGGAGCTGTCGGCTGCGGATAGTTTCCAGCCGGCCAGGGTAAATATATCGTACGTGTACAACAGCAGAACGGCGATGCCCGAAAATTGCTGCAGAAACAGGGCTAAAAGAGTCATCATGAACGGCTTGTAGATGTAAGATTGCTTCAGCTCCGACAGTTGGAACCTCTGGGTGGCGTCGACGTTGGCCCTCATCGCCTTGTACTCTTCATCCGCGTCAGTTCTCCCGTAGAAGTGTAGAGCTCGTAAGCCGTCTTCATCACGGCCAACCTGGAAGAGCCATCGCGGGGAGTCAGCGAGCCATGGCAAGATCAGGGCCATCAGAACTGGTGGGGTCATGCTGGCCGCAGCGAGCCAGTCGTAGTGTAGCCACTTGCCCATGATGTACGCCAAGAGCACGCCCACGGAGTAAGACATGGAGCACATGACGTTGAGGAGGCCGCGGATATTCTTGGGGCTCACTTCAGACACAAAGACAGGCGCCGTTATCGACGTCATGCCCATGAAGGCGCCCGTCAGAGCTCGGCCGAAGAAGAGTACACCGGGAACTGTACCAGAGACGATGCAAAGCCAACCGGCGACGCTGACGGCCGTCGCGAGTAGTAGCGTGAGCTTGCGGCCTATGAATCTGATGAGCTGACCTGCAATGTTTAAAAGAGAACAATGATAGGAAGCAATTCGCAACAAGAGCTTCAAGTAGAAAATCTCAGGAATAAAGTTGGTCACGCGCCAGAATGGTTTATGCATGCGTTGGACAGGTCACGTAGGCCGTAAAGTGATTGCTGTTCTAGGTTTAATGCCGCAGGAGCAACAAAGCGGTAGCGGATAACGGCCACAGTTCCTTAACATATTTTCTGAGAGCTATAGAAAGCGAAGGAGATGTAGGATGTGCAGATAAAGAGATGCTGATCAGCCTGAGCAGCAGTTCTGTCGAGCTTCCCCGTAAGGAAATAAAGAATTCGAGATTTAGAACCAAGGAAGAAAGCTGGGACAGAGAGAGTGAAAGAGAGAGAGAAAGAGAAGGACATGCGGAGCCAGAGGGAAGATACGTAAAATATTAACTGCTCCGGATTAACGCATAACTTGTCTTCACTTCACCTAAGGCATGTTTCGACTAGTCTGGGAGATAAAAAAATCACACAATTACCTGACCCGATTGTCAGACTGAATTTATGATAGCCGGCTTATACCCCCAGCATCAACACCCTAGTAATCGTGGTATGCTCGTATGAAGATATGACCGCATTGCCTTACCGTATGCGGAATAATACGAGAAAATGAATCGCTTTGACAGCGAGGCAGCTCCGGGACAAAAAGATTAAACTTGATAAAAGCAGGATTATCTCGTAAGAAACCAAAAGGGACTTTGCTAAAAAAAGAAAAAGAAAACAAGTGACATGTAAAACTTGATATTATGTTTCACATTAACGTGAAGTATAAAGGATTAAACGACGATGGTCCACTGAAACACAAAAGTACTATCCGTAATCAGAATCAACTATATTTGGTGTCACAGAAAAGAACAGCGCGGCTGACAAACACCAAAACACTGCCAGGCAAGATAAAGTCTATAAATAATACGACAAAGAATACGCCATCAATCAGATCTAATTGTAATCCTCAAAAAGAATATGAAATTAAATGAATTGCATTAACCTGCCCTCTGGAAATATTGCTAGACTGTATTTTTTTTTTTATGGTTGAATGCGCTGCGCTTACCTGGTTTTGCCAGACGCGGAGGGTGAGTTACGTTTATCAAATGTAGCGGTCTTTATAATTGTTGTTTGTTTGTTACAGTTACAAAATGTTTATTGTGTTTTATAGTTTGAGCCTTGAAACGGAGTCCTACGACACCTTCGAAGCGAAGGTGTCGTAGTATCTGTAAATAAAATAACACATAACATCCCCAATTGTCCCACAGTCTCATATCACGTAAGAAAAAGTGAGCCGCCAAACTATTTTTTTAATGTCTTCTATCATAGCTAGCGCCTCTTCGAAGATATGGACTGCCTGCAGGTGTTCGGGTGAGGCTTAAACGAGCTTGAAAACAGCGTATATAAACTTGTTCGTCTCTCGTTTGTGAGGGTAAGATTCTTTATGCTTGTCTACAAGGTTCTCGAGGCTAGCTTCTTTGATGAGGATTGCAAAGACGTATTCGTGGAAATCCCTATATCCCCTGAACTTTCGACGCCATTAATCGAACAACCCTATGTACAATCAAATCGCTCCTTTGTAAAGTTTAATTCTTATTTCGGATCAAACTATCATAAATCAGTGTGAAAAAAAATTTTTTAATGGGGACGCTTTATATAATGGTCTCGTGGTCCCTCAAGAAAACTTCTCATCCACTATTATCGAACAACGAAAACGTTTATTCGGTACATCTAGAGGGTTACCTTTCTGAGCTAGACGTAAACACATTTTTGTGTATGTAATAAAATCAGTCAGTGACAAACCTGGCTGCTTTTTTTCTGAATGCGACCGTGCGCATCAAATAAAAATGTCGCTACTTCAATTTTGTTAAATAGAAAAAGAACTAGTGTTTGTTTTTTTTTGTTCTTTTTTTAAGCGTGGGATTGATTTTTTGTCGATGGGCTTCGGTCGCTTCCTCGCATATACAGCCAGTAAATTATCGTAGAAATATTGGCAACACGACGTTTCTGTCATGTATGTGAGTTGAATTCGTTGGCAATTTGCCTATTTGAAGTTCTAACAGACTTCACTCCTTCGAGGATTGCTTCAGGCTTCACATTTTCGCGAAACAACGGTAAGCTTCATTATAGTTTGGGAATTTTTACTTCGAAAATGTCCTACATCCTATTTTCGAGGGTACATCTCATTGCCTAATAGTCTCTGCATTTGCATCTCTCCGTCTCTCCCCACGTAGATTTTGCCCTACGTCCTTATTCATTTGCCTCTTTATCTTGGTCTTGTTCTTTGTATTCATATTTTTTCCATCTCCCTTCCCGAGTCGTTTTCTCTCGCTCTTGCACTCTAGAAAACGCCTGTGCGCTAAATTTTCTGCAGAGCACGCAGATTGTACATAATTACGAAGAACAGAAGGATCCCAGTGAATAACGAAGCACATAAAACGATTAGATCAGAAAGAGAGAGAGAATAAACTTCATAAAAGCCTAATAAGATCCAGAACGTTGGGTTCCTTCTCCTACGGCCGACGACGTGCGCGGAAATAGATCTTTTTCAAAAGTTCATCGAGCAACATTGGCGGTCGTCATTGCTTGGACACGAAGCACGTGATTGGATCCGAGTCCTCGCCGAACCCTGACGTAGCGCTCGTGTCCAATACGAGCCGAGCCGAGTTCACGCCGAACACTGACGCAGTGCTCGTGCTACATGCTTAGAGTATGTGAACAAGCAATGGCGGACAGGCGGTGGCGCAGACTTGTGAAAAGGGTCTGTTAAGCGAGTGAAACGTCATGCTCATTGTCCCTGCGGACATTGCTTTCTTTGTTTAATGTTAATATAATCGTCGTGATTCGCTGGAATGTTCGTATTGTTTGCCGTAATTGCCTGTCTCGTGTTTTTCAGGAAAGCCAACTTGCAGTCCGTTTCTTTTTAGAGAGTGCTCTGTTTATTTGTTTTCATCTCTCTCTTTCTCGAAGCTTCTTTATCTTTTTCTCTCTTTCTGCCATTGCTTCTGTCTCTATCTCTTTCTCTCTCTTTCTCTTAAAGTCTCTATCTTCCGCTTCTCTCGCTTCATCTCTCTTCTTCCGGTTATTTTCAACTCTATATCTTTTTGTGTACACTTTTCAAGTGGATCAGGTTCCACCTTACCCCCAGCAAGGGCTCCGAATATTCCGCCGATGTTGAGCAAGGATCCGAACCAGTCGCTCTGGTCGTCAGACAGGTCCATGCGCTGGCGGATGTCAGGCAGCGCAGGCGACGTGTATCCCACGGACATGCCGTACGACATGGTGGCCATCATGGCCGCGGTCACGGCCAAAAAAAGTCGACGGTGTCCTGCCTTCTGCATCTTTAGGTCCGGCGTCCCCGACAAGCTTCCCCCGACCGAATCGGGGTCGATCGACGATGGAACTGGGGGCGTCCACTGCTGGGCGGGCCTTTGGGGAAGAAGTGGAGACTTCTCAGACACGCTGGGTGCATCCGCCTTAGAGCCCGCCTTAAAGACAAGGAGGTCTCTGGAAACAGAGTGAAGGCGTGAGGAGAGTCGGTGATAATTATGACTCCACGAGGAAGGAACCACCGAGCATACATGCAGCCCGATGGCTGAATGTGTACAAGACATTCCAAACAGAGGTTAGGGAGTATCATTGTGTAGAATCTTAGAAGTTCCCCTTTGCTCGCGGCCCCTCAGTGCACCCAGAACACGCCTGACGCGTTTAACTTAATCGATGAGAAGGTGATCGGAATCTGAGGAGGTGAGCGGTATTCTGTCCCGGTAATCATACCGTCTGTTGTAAAAGCCCATTGACGGCGAGTGCTTCGCGATGCGCTATGCATTCGCAGACATCTGATAGCGCACGAAGTAAGCTTTTAAAGTGCTCTATACTTTATTCTACAAGAGCTTGAAATATACGCTCAGTCTCGGAAGTGCCTTCGCGCATATTATTCACTCGGAACGCTAATCACTCATCCTCTTTCAATCAGCATACATATATTTCCTTTCAATTTACAGACGCCGCCGACGCTAGCTAGTGGGATCGATCAAGCAGCTTAAAAAGCGCAACTCACTGGGCCTTTTCTGTTTTTGATCGGTTCAGCGATGACAGAACACGTACAGACATGTGACGAACACCATCATGGTGCTCGTCGGCTGCGTCTGTACTTAAGATGAAACGAAGTAGGAAACATCTTGCTTCAATGATAACGTCTCAGTGGCTCAAGGACGTCCATTGCATTTGTCACTGAGACTGCATCAGCATTTGAAGCTGGCCATTTTCGCTGGTTAACTGAAGATTAGTGATAAAGGCTTGAAGTGCAATGATGGGAGGGGGCAAGGGAGGCAGCATAAATTCACAAATTTAAGAGGGCGTATACCATATGAACCAGCGCATTTCAATGTTAGGGTAAATAGCGCAGCTATCAAGTGATGTAGATTTCGTGAACTGTCAGAAGTCTAGTCTCTAACAGCTTAAAAAGCGCAGGGCGTGGAGAGTCCCAAGAATCTTATTAGCGCTTCGCAGCCAATGAAGTTCCGAAATTAGGCGATAAGGGCACCGAAGAACGAATCACGAATTGCGAACAGAATAAACCACGTCTTGCGTTTCTTAATTTGTCGGTGACTACAGTGTCTGCACCAATACATTTAACCAGTTCAATCAATGAAAAGGGCTAGCAGTGTCGCGTTTTAATGGTCCTGCAGCCTCGGGGACACAAGAGGAGGCTACCTTTTTTGGAACTGAGGCAGCATGGCCACGAGGCATGATACCGATCGCCCTTCTCATTATCTCCACAGATGAAAAGAAGTTCGGTGATCGGTGTTCAGTGCGTTGTGGGGCAGCATTCAGGCACGAGCTTCTGAGAGTGTATCGACAAGGCTATTTCCCGAGTAGAATAGATATGCAGACCCTATAACGTTACCGTGTAGCCGGTGGCGACGTCCATCTATCCCGTGGCGTTGTTGCCTCGGGCTGTGCTTGCGACGGAGGCTGCATAGTGAAACCTCCCGCTGAAGGTGTGCATATGTATATCGTCGTGGGCCACTCCTCAGATCCTCTTTGATCCAGCGCTCCAGTCTGCTATCGTATGTAGCCCACCGGAACACTTCCTAGGGAGTGCCGTCGTCCCATCTCCGACGGCGTCCCGTGGTCCACCGTCCACCGGCAGTTGCGCGCGGCTCAGGGGCATTATCAATGTTACGGCTTCGCGCGAGTCCCCTTTATCTGGCCGAAACATATCTTTGTGGCGCGCCGAAAAGGAAAAAGAGTGCGCTAGATATCACGATTCCGCATGCGCGAGCTCAATGACTTTTACTGCTGGGGTCAGCGTGCGAGGTGACGGTAGTTGTAGTTTACGGTCCGTGGGAAGAGGGATACATGTTCGTCCTTAAGAAATAGTCCTAATTTTGTGTCACGCATTCGGAAGTTCTTACATCTAGAAAGTAGTCCAGCCCAGGAGGCTAGGCAGAACACCAAAAATCTACCCTGAATTCTCTCTTATAGATTTTATTAGGTTGTCGGGTATCAAGAACTACATATATTTCAGGTAACCGTACGCACAAAGCCTGTATATTAATTTACCTAGCTTGTATGCAACACACCATATAGTTTTTATAATAGTCATAATTATCCTCATTTTTTGTCTCAATCCTCTTGATGTTGATTGCCTTTTTTTAATGTCACCATCACATCTTCCTTAATAAATGCGTTATCAATCTTTGCGCACAGTCCTGCGACTAAATAAACACTGATAATGTTTTTAGTTAGTTAAATTAGAAGGGTGAACCGCATCCGCCACGGTGATGATGTAGTGATGTAGTCTCAATGATAAGGAGCAGGGCCGGATTAAGGAATCTGGGGGCCCTTGGCAAAAACAGTTCATGAGGTCCCTAATGATGATGATAATACTGAATATTGCCGCGTGCGAATAGCTGTGTCAGCAGCGTGCTCGACCCCCGCACTTCAGGCAGGGGTTTGATCCCCGCCAGCGTTTCTCCTTTTTATATTTCTTTTGGTTGCATGACTGGAATGTTCCAGATTAATCAACAATCTTGTTGTTTGTTCGTGCTCGGAAACCTCTAGGTAGCCACGCGCACACAAAAGAAGCTTCGCATGTCTGCTTCAGACAGTCGTCCTTCCGTCGCCGTCAAGTATGTACGCTCTTTGTTACTTTATGTGTCTTGGCATAAGTTCGAGGAATTAAACATTCATCTTAAGTTTTATTAATCAAGTTTATGTTTTCATTCGTGACATCTTGGTGGAGGAGCGAGGCAACGCAATCTATGCCCACGATGAGAACCACCTGTGAACACAATAACTGCGAAGGCGACGATCGTGAAGGCGGCGTCCCCGAAAACATGCGAGAATGACCCCAACTGTGACATCAATGACGACCTCAACTATGGCCTGAAAAACGATCCGGACTACAAACTCCACAAAGCCCCTGGCTACGACCCAGACGACCACATGATGGTAATCTTGACGGCGCCGTCGCCGATGAAACGGTCAACGACTCCAAAAACAAACCCCGGCTACGACATCAACAACCAACCTCACTACGGCCTCGACGATAAACAGTTTCTTCGACCTTGACGACGAGACTGACGACGACACTGACGATGACACAGGCGACGACTGGAACGGCGACATAAACGACGATCCCGACTACGACTTCGACGGCAACTCTGGCGATGACTTCGACGGCGACTCAAGAACAACTCGGACGGTTACTTCATCATCAACCCCGACTATAACCTTGACGATGGCCTTCATGACAAACCCGATGACGGTACCGACAATGAGTGTGATGTCGGCCACGAAGACGAACAGGACGACGACTCTTGGTTTCTTCACTCAACGAGCGTAAGAAAAGTCCGCCAGCTCGGCCGCATTTTGATTCAAGCCGCACAACCTGCTGATAATGGCCGGTACACTCTTTGCCGCCAAGACACCCAGTTCCCGCCCAGCTACCAAGTGTGGACTTGAACACTAATTCATCGTCTCAGCGATTGACTGTTAACGTGGTGCTTCGGCCTCAAGGCTATTCGCTACCTAAAGGACCCACACTGCAAGCCGTTGCCCGACGGAACATGAACATTGTCACGGAGCCCTCTGCGACCCGAAGGTGATTCACGTAGTCAACTCGAACTGAACTATGCCCGAGAGGGGAGTAATGTCATGCGCGCGAATAGCTGAGTCAGCAGCGTGCTCGACTCCCACGTCGCTGCCTGTGGTTTGATCTTCGCCAGCGCTGGTCCTTTTTATCTATTTTTTTGTTTGCATGACAAGAATGTTCCAGATATGACACGAAAATTTTGCTGTTTGTTCGAGCTCAGAAACCTCTAAATACCCACACGTTTACAAAAAGGAGCTTCGCCATGGCCGGACAGTCGTCCTTCCGTCGCCGTCAAGTATTGTGAGAGAGCGTTCCCTTATCCTATCCATAGCATCAATCACGGCGTGCCCCGACAGAGGGAGCCCGTGTCCAAGAGCCGAGGCCTTAGGCAGGGGTGGCCGTTATCGCCTTTGCTGTTTATGTTGTATCTGAGAGGAGTGGAAGATAGACTAGAGAAGAGTGGGCTTGGATTCGACCTTTCGTACAGTAAGCTAGGCCAAAAAATTCAGCAAATCCTTACCGGGATTGATGTATGCGGGTGATATCGTACTGATGGCTAACAACAGGATAGATTTGCAGGAATTAGTGAGCATCTGTGGTAGGGAAGGAGAGGAATTAGGTTTAGAATTCAGTAGTGAAAAATCAGCTGTCATGATTTTTAACAATGATGAAGTTGAGATGCTGAAGATACAGAATATTACAGTTGAGAGAGCTAATAAATACAAGTATCTAGGAGTATGGATATGTGATGGTGCAGAATATCTCAGTGATCATGAAAAGTATATAATAGGTAAGGGCAACAGAAATGCTGCTGTACTGAAAAATAGAGCACTTTGTAATTACAACAGGTATGAGGTGGTGAGGGAGATTTGGAAAGGGGTGATGGTGCTTGGCTTGACTTTTGGAAACGCAGTACTATGCATGAAATCCGATGTGCAAGCAAGAGTAGAAATAAAACAGCGTGGAGTAGGTAGGCTGACTTTGGGGGCGCATTGCAAAACGCCAAACAAACTAGCGAATACAAGGAGACATCGGATGGGCGTCATTTGAGGGCAGGGAAGCCGTGAGCAAGATGGAATTTGAGGATCGGTCGAGGCAAACGGGTGGGGAGCAATGGGCACGAAAGGTTTTCAGCTATTTATAGACCTTTTCATCCTCCTCCGCATGGGCGCTGCCATCTTGGAATCACGTGACGCGGCAGCCATTAGGTTGCTTCAACTAGCTCCCCCGCTCTCCCCTCCGCAACTTGGCGGATGCGTTGCATCCGTGTTTTTTGTTGCGTTTCACCGCGCTTTCTGGCCTTGCTTCGGAAACTGTAGTCCGATATGTCTACTCGACGACTAAAGCATCACGAGAATTTAAAGGTTCTTAT